TACACAGGTGCTACATATTGTTGATGAACTCCTTCAAAATCAGCAGTGCAGCGTTTTCCCTTCAATGCAGGCTAGAAAAGATGAGCATGAAGATTCAATATATCAAATGATAGTGGTCCATTCAGTTCTTACCATACTTGCTAACAAAAAAACTGGACATATGAGAATGTTATCAAACTTTCTTTCATCACCAGAGGCACTTAAGGTATGCACAATAATTATTGATAAATATTTAGTTGAATGGGTATGAAAGGACTTAATGTTGCCTGCTATGCCTATAAAGTTGTCAAGCATTAAAGAAGAGGAAGAAGGTTTTCTTCGTAAGTGCAATTAGCATTTATTATTTTACTACCAATATGATTATTATTCAGAGTGCAACAATGGCCATCAATACACAGACATAATGGTATTATAATAGATATATGTATTGATTTATATTTTAAGGTATATTTAGTTGGAGTCATTTTGTATCCACTGTGGTAGAATTATACAATATTCAAGTAAATCATTGGCTCCAGTAGAGTAAGTATTAAACTTCTGGAATATGTTTTTATTGCTCTTAAAAGTAAATTCACTGAAAATGAAGCTTCATTTGGGTATATACCTTTAAATGACATGGAAAGAAACCCCCCAACTGGTTTTCTTTCTAATGCTTCATATGCAATCATTAGGTGCATAATGCACTCATGCTTACTATGGTCATCCTGCAATGGAAAAGTATGTATTAAAAACCAAAGGTGTTTATTTATTTTCATTGTAAACAGAATATTTCACCACTAATGAACGGAAAACTTGATCTACCTTTACCAGAGTACAATTCATTTTTTTGGGGTCAAATAAAGAAAGATATACAACAGTTATCAAGCATTACTGGTCATTCTATTGATGAAGCTGCATTGTTAGTTCATTTAGTGTTAAAGCAAATCAATGAGAAAGGACATCGTGTGCAACTAACAGGTTGGTTAATCTGTTAATTACATTGATTATTCTACTTGGGATAACACAATAGGACAAAATGTTGTTGGTAATTTAGTAAAACTAAATGATAGAAGAAAGTGGGAGGAACAGTTTTATGATTGTTACATTGAATCTGTTGTCAAGGTAATGCTAATGATAGTAGTCCATTAGATTATGCGACACTATTATATTAGGATACAGGATCTAGCATTAAAAAAATGCTGAAAGAACTAACTGCTAGAGGTAATTTTTCATTTTTCTAATGAAATTCATTGTCTTTGTAGATTACAGCAAATTATTTAAAGCAGTGTACATGACTCCCATGACATCATCAGAGCCATTTTTATGGAATGTTTGTCCTACATTAACTTCACAACAAATTTGTGGGCAGTTACTGACAATAAAAGTATCTGAGGAGCATCCTGTGATTTTCACATATCTTTCTGAAGTTGGCTAGCAAAATATAAGGCTATATATTAACATGTACTTTAGGTTCATAGGTTTGAAGCAATGACATTTTTGCCAGATATCTTTAAAATGCTTAAAATAACTCAAAAAGCAATATCACAGTTTGATTTTGATGAAAAGACACAAGGAACTATTGAGAACATGCCATTCAGGGAATTTGTTAATCAAATTGGTAACCATAAATACAAGAAAGGGACATAATTATTTTCAATATGTACATGTAGATGATCAACAAAAAGATGATTACGAAAGTTATTTTGTTTCTTTTCAGCGTGCTTGGGAATTATGTCATCATGAGCTTAATAATGGTATGTATTGTATGAGAAATATTATTTAATATTATTTTTGTATTGCAGGACGCTTGTTTGAGTTAAAGAACAACAGCATTCAAGTAGAAATTTCTAAAGAAATGAAAATGAAGTACCTAATACCAACTACCTATGGACCTGGAGTTATCACCACTGGATTGATTGATCATCTCATCATTAGTCATAACAAGTTCATTAGACTTTGCCGCAAATTTGTGGAAGATTCCCTTAAAAAGTATGATGAATACATGCATAAAAGCAATATTCTTGTATAAAATTTCATAGAAATTGGCTGTGGCAAAGCCCAAAGGTGCCATTGCAAGAGTTAAGTTCTAAGCACTTTGTGAAGTGTTCTGATGAATTTGTCAGGCTAGTCCAATCTCATAGTGTATACACAATCTCTAATGGAAATGTTACTATTCAAATAAATGATCTTGGAATCATTGAAAGAGATTTTGTTCAGGAATTTGTATTAGGAAAACCAATTATAACCCAAGTATTAGATATTCCCCAGGTGATTTGGAAACGTCCTGTTCACAACACACAAATTATTGCAGCTGTTAAGAAGAATATTCCTCAAGTATATACGATACAGTATAATTGGTATTGTCCTTAACTTAATTTTTAGCAAGCACTGCCTCCTCAAGTCCGGTCAGGGATTTTAATGGATCTTAAAGATGACTTAGCTGAGATGACAGTTTTATGTGAAACAATCGAGACAGTAATGAGGTTCCTTCAAATCAAAAAAGAACCAGCAAAAAAGAAATTAAAGGAATATGTAGAGAATGATTTGATCATTATTGGTAAACTAAGAAGTGAAAAGGTACTACTGTATGTATAGATTAAATTGGAATTTATGACTTATTATTTTAGATCACTGATTTCTGCTGCTTGGAGCATGTTGTACCATTATGGAGATTCTTGAATGTTGAACGTGCTAAATACAGAGTTCGAAATGAAGAGGTAAGGTCATTAATTAAAATTAGTATGATGATATTTTCCTGTAGGATTCATTCAGTGTTAAAATGGATTTTATGGAAAAAATAGATGTCAGTTTTTTTTATTTTGTTTAGATGCTTAAGTTTACAATAAATATTTAGGATGAACAACAAAAAGTGTCTCTTGAAGCAGCAATCAGTAAAATGACTAACATAGACAACATGTTAGAAGTGATGTATGAGATGATACAGACCTATGTACAAACATGTAATCTGGAAGACAAGCATAAACAGTAAAGGCTACTCTAAGATTAATTTTGACTATTACTTAATTATTCTAAATAGATTGAGAGAAGTCTTGTTTGACTATGTGCATCAGACCAAATCTGAGCCTATTTCTCATCTTATGGAGTTCTTTCCTCCTGATATTGAACTAAGTCAAGTCGTCTGTGCATGGAAGGAAATAGTCCGTCTTCAAGATGCAACAAAGAAAAAGATTCGCTAACTTTACATGTAATTAATTATAGGCCTTAGTGTTATTAGTAGCTGACTTAGGACATTTTTAGACTTAACTAAACTAGCTAGTATATAGTTTTATTTGCTGATTAATTAAGTTTTTGCGGCTCTCTAATTATTATTAACAATTTTATTAGTTGCTTTGTTAACACTAAGCATTGGTTGCATCATGTCCCTGCACCACCCATGACAGCCAAAATTTCTTGAAATCTCAAAAACAGTTCTCAATAAAAATAATATTAAACTATTTTAACAATGCAAAAACTCTGCCCTCCCTGGCCTTCATCACAGCACTTTTCAGGACCTCAAGACTAGTACTGGAATCCTTCTGGAGTTCCCTCACTTCCCCTATATGCCCACTACCACAGACAATCATAATGATACTATCAGGAGGGGATGAAGACACTATGTCACAGCATAGCTTATCCAGTTCAGAGAGAGTAGATTTAAACTCTTCCTCAGTAAAACCAGTAGTCCTTTTCTTCAATACTTCCATTGAGTGCAATTGTGTGAATATGAAAGTGTTTTTCGGAACACATTCAAGTACTTTATCAACAGCTTCTTGATCACTCGTTACA